TATCGTCATTGCTGCTTGCTATTTCAAGCCCAACATCCCCATTCAATCTTTCCGGGATGACTTTAATCGTCTCTGTGATATGCTCAATAGTTTCCACAATGTCATAATTGCAGGAGATTTCAATGCAAGACACCCTTGCTTTGGTGACTCCGTGTCAAACAATAAAGGCAAAGCCTTGCAAGAAATCATTAAAGCTAGTAACTTCTATTGTCTGAATGATAATTCACCAACCTATTTTCACTCTACGACCAACAATTGTGGTAGCGTGTTGGATCTTACTTTCACTAACGCAACCCATCTCACATTCAAACGAGAGGTTAAAAAAGAAATTTTCCTGGGAAACAGCCACCACCTTCCTATTCTCTCCATTCTCCCTTGATGAACTCATGCACGTCCTTAAGTCGAAAAAGAAGTCCACAGCAGCAGGCCATGACGGAATCAAATATGAAATGATAAAGGTCCTTCCCATGCCAAGCCTTCTAACCCTGCTATCTGCTATAAATGAGCGCTGGATGACCAACTCGTTTCCCACCGTTTGGCGTACAATTAAAATAGTGCCCATTCCTAAACCCGGAAAAGATCTTGAAATATTCACCAACTTCAGACCCATATCCCTCTTGCCTGTTCTTCTAAAAATTACCAACCAAATGATTAAAGAAAGACTAACAAAATTCCTGAATCACTCACACCTTCTCCCGTCAAGGTCCTTTGCTTACCAAAAAAATATCTCCACCGGTATGTGCCTTAATGAAGTCCTTTTCACAATTGCAAATGAAAAAGCAAATGGGAACCAGGTAGTCATGCTTTGCTTAGACATTAATAAAGCTTACGACTGTGTAAACTTAGCGAAACTGGACCAAATTCTATCTGATTTTAAAATCCCGACACAAAATAGGCATTGGGTTCTCAACTTTCTTTCCTCGAGAACTCTCGTATTAGATTCACATACAGTCGAAGTTTGTGGAGGCTTACCTCAAGGTAGCTGTCTCAGCCCAGTTCTCTTCAATTTATACACAGCCGGTTTACATCAATTACAGGACAATTCTACCCATTTATTTCAATATGCTGACGATTTCCTCATCAACTCTGCTGGAAAATCATTAATGGAAGCAGTCCGTAACCTCGACACTAAAGCCAATCTTTTTCACAAACTTTGTGCAGACTTAAATCTAACTTTCAACCCGGAAAAATCAAAAGTCGTTCGCTTTGCTAAGGGTCCCAAAAAAATTTTTTACATTACAATCAATGGTATAAAAATCAGTCCGTCTTCCTCTTTTAAATTTTTGGGCAGAATAATCAACTCAAGTTTAACCACGCATGAGCATTACAAGGATAGCCTCGAAAATTGCAACACAGGCTCAAATGTCATCAAACTTCTGACCAACATTCACACCGGACTCCCACCTAGGAAAGCATTAAACGTTTACAAATCTATTGTTAGATCCAAAATTGAATATCCCTACTCTACATCGTGTAACGCTCCTGCGTATACATTAAAAAAAATACAAACCTTTCAACACTCAATCCTAAGACGTTGTACCGGTTTGTCCCCCTCAACACCAACATCAATTTTACGTTCCATCTCTTATGAACTCCGCGTTGCTAAGAGAATTTATCTTGTAACCGCAAAAGAGCTTCTCAAGGTAAAAATCTTCAAACCTGCCTTCTTTGACGAGATCGCTTCCAGACACAATCAGTAGTTACTCTAACTGCTTCAAAAAATTCAGTAACATCTTCAATAAAGTTAACTCAATACCCTCCTGGAATAATATTATTCATGATAAATGCGTAGTTGAATTAAACTTACTTAATTCAATCACCAACTCAAAAAAAAATCGATCAGGGTCTTGTCTTCGAATCGCTTGTCTGCAAAAACTTAACCACTTCGTCGAAAATAACTTCAAAATATACGCAACGGATGGATCTATCAATTCGGACATCTCCAGTTTTTCAATTATTGAATACCCAAACTTACTTATAGGAAAATTTAAAGTTCTACAAGAACTATCATCCACTTTCATTGAACTTCTGGCCATCAGACAAGCAATCATCCACGCATCTGAAATTAAGCTGAAAAAATTTGTAGTTTTCTCTGACAGCAAATCTGCTCTAATTTTAATCAAGAACAAAGACCCATTCAATAAGTATGTCTTCGATATCTACAACCTTTTAAAAGACACAAGTATTGAAAAATGCCACATCATCTGGATCCCAGGTCACTGCGGTTTTAGTATCAATGAAAAAGCTGACTTCCATGCTCGTCAAGCTAGGTTCGATGGTACAGTTTTGTCCATAAACTACCCCCCCCAGCGAAGCTTTTCTGCTAGTCAAAAAACTCATCATAAAAGAATGGAAAGATGAGTATCATGTTTTAGCTAGAGAAAAAAGTGACCGGCTGTTCTACAAAATTTACCCTTTTTTGACACCCACGCTTCTACCTAAAGGAAAATTCACAACATGGAAATTTAAAGTTCTTCACCGTCTTATGAGTAATCACACCTACGACAAGGTCTATTTTAAAATGATCAAAGTCTCCTCCTCTGACATCTGTGAGGATTGCAATATTACTGAGTCTGCCGAGCACCTTATTTTTGAGTGCAGGAGGTTTGACATCCTTAGACAATCTTTCAGTATATTTAACCTGTATAATAATCTATATGAAATTTTTCGTGCTGGTAACTTTAGGCATTTGAAGCAACTGACTGCCTTTATCAAATCAGCTGAGTTTTCATTCTAATTTTACATTTAGTATTTCTATTACAATCACGAATCGCCTACACTTTTTCTTTTATCGGCATTATTAGCCGGATCTTGACAGTACAGTAACAAGGACGGTGATTTATGGATTGACAGCGGAACAGAGCCTCTCATTGCGAACACTCTGCTACATCAGTCTACCTATGCTTAAATTTTTTCATCAATCGCTCTCAACTTCGTTTCTGGATTATGGATCTAACATTAACTTAACTGGTCCAATCCATCTCCAAACAAACAAAAAAAAAAAAAAAAAAAAAATAAGCGCATATATTTGTTTACACTTCTCAATGACTGAAAATGTGTTTGTTTATCAACAGCTGTCGCATGTATAAAAGTTGCGTCCATATGGTGCTGGGATAAGCTCAGCTGCACCAGGCTTTGATTCACAAGAATTTTTTCTCTTGATATTTGTCTTTAAATGTTTTAGAGTTCAGAAGCATTCACTTTATTTATTAATTTTTCAACTTCGCCTACGATCAGCATCAAAAATGCTGTTTGTCGTTTTTCAAAAATCGTCTTTCAAGAAAAAAAGCAGTTAAAGTTTTAAATTGTCCGTGTACTGGTAAGCAATCACGCTAAAAAATCAAACTTTTTGATCGCTTAAAATTTTGTCATGCCTATGGCTTGGCATCCTGCTTAAGGGATTATTTAAGTCAAGAAAAGAAAAAGATTGTTTAAAAACATACAGCAGTCTATGCTTTCAAGAAATTGTTAAATAAATCTCATTTTTTACATTAAAATTCCATATTAATTAAACAAACAAGAAAGTTATACTCGGCAGGAGCCGAATGTACCTCGCATACCCACCACAATGCTTTTCGTATTCTACTCTTTAAGTCCTTTTACCCATATCGCCGGTATTAAGAAAAAATTAATCCACCAGATCGCGGTGTCTACCGCCTTTATTTTGGAATTAACCCATCTTTAGGCAGATAATATATCTTCGTTTGAGGATTGTACAAAATAGTTTTAAGCATTCTGTTTTGATTGTTATTATGATAAATAAGCATAAAAGTAACGAGCAAAAACCCACAAATTTTGTTTAAGAAAAAGGGAGTTGCGTTCAAATATGCTCTACTGCGGGTTTCTGCTCTGAGTAACATAACCCATTTTCAATACCAACTTGCGTGAAAAACTCCCAATGTGTCTACCAAATTTAAAGTTGATATCTTCATTCTTACGACCAGCACAGTGCGAACAACAAACACCACAGAGGCACATAGACGGACCGACATGGCTAAATCAACTCAGAATTTCAGAAATATATATACTTTATAGCGTCTCTGAAGCTTCCTTTCGAGTGTTACATAAGTCATGAAAAAAAACAAAATGAACACACCCCAATCTTACAGCGGTGGATATAAAAATTAGTACAAAATTCTTCTATTGATAATTTAAAAAGGATAACATTCACATTTAAATTATTTGTAATTTTTATATTATTTCATTTATTTCATGAATTAATTTTTGCTTTATTTGATTTTTTAATTTTCAATTTTCTTAAATATTTCGTATGTTTATGCATAAAATTTATACAATGTGCAATAATAATGGTAATTTAGCTTTTACAGCGGCCTATAAATAAAATTATATCAAAAAAATCGAAAAAAAATCAAAATGATTGATAAGACGCATTTTTTATTCATTTTTTAATTGCCAAAAGAAGCGGTTTTAATTCTGTACGGAACCGAAATAGTAAAATTAAACAAATTTTATAATTAATTTAACAAAATGAATAATAATTTAACAAAACGGGCTGGATTTTAAGAAACTACTTTCTCCTTTGTTTTTACATATTAACTAATAAATATTTAACTAAAATTTGTACTTGACAAATAAAAAAATTGTACGCATACAAATTCAACAAATTACTTAAAATTTATCTCAAAGCAGCTCAATATGAGAGCGCATTATCACCGATTCTGAAATCCTTCGACGCACGTTGCGTACGTTCAGAAGAAAATTGACCACATTGCTAAATTTATCTTGCTTATTTCTTTGCTGATAGGAACTTACCGAGTTTATGGGATAAGGTGATTACATTTGCCGCCATCCACTGAAGTTTCTTTTTGCACATGAAAAGTGTTTAACAATTATGTAGTAGATCTATGGCTGTACAGTTACTTAATAAATAAACAAGTTAAGCTAAGTTAAAATAAATGAAAATAAAAAAGAAGAAAGTAAAACATCAATATATTTCAAAATGAAAATTATCATTACAAAATGTAAAAGTCATTATAATAAATTTCATTTTTACAAAAATATTTCTCTCAAATCTTGCCGTATTTTTGTATAAACTCTTTTTAAACGCTCTAAATGAATGGCGTTTGTGCCTTCCTTTGCATTCGATACATCCGTTACCAGTACAAAGCCGTATAAACGCTCGATTTCACTCTGATATTCCTAAAAAGGACGTGCAAGTCTACGGTAAAAAAATATCAAATTTGACGAATACAATAACTCACCATAATTTGTACTTGTTTCCGTTTTAAAGAACCTGAGGAACTACATTGAAGGGTATTTGTTTTCATAATAACCAAGAAATATAACTTCAAATAATACAACGCCTCAGGGAATTCTGAAGTTATTGATATAGTTTTTGAAGAAATGTCATACTTTAAAACTATTAAATAGTGGGCTAAAAAATATAATTTTATATCCTCGGTTAAACCATCCATTTTCAAATTAAGATTTTGCAAAACTTTTTTTCCATGTTCTCTATTTTGTAAAGTGAATGTACAAGTGTAGTTGGTTACGGTTGCGAGTTCAGTCATTTCGCTCTTTCTTGTTAAATTTTTTTGCAATATATTACGCAAATTACTTATTGGTGACCATAAACTTAAGAAATCAACTTTATGGCTAAACATATTTTGGAAACTTGTTTCATTTTCTTCTAATTCTACAACAAAATTTACACTAAAATAATTACTAGCGTGCTTTACAAACGTGAACAGTTTTGCTTGAAAATTCGATAGAAATATCTTCTCCTCTTGGAGATTACATTCTACCAACAAGCAAAGATTTCTTTTTAACATTTCGTCGGATAAGAATAAAAACATACTTTCATTTTCAGTACTTAATTGTAAGTACCAATTTGTGTCGGTAAACGCAGACAACACTGACTTATCTTGCCTGTTAAGCTTGAAAAAAATTAAAGCGTAATATATTAATTTATTCTGGCCCTTTTGATTATTCTTTAAGTGGGTTTTTATGAGTGTAGTAGAGTTTCGGTAGCTCTCAGAACTGGGCAAATAGTTATAATACTCTATATAGGCTTTGTAATATTTCCTCAGTAACTCCGTTTTATGGCCCATAGCGACGCTGACTTGCTTTTTATATTCGTCCTCAATTTGTTGGTGCAATAAAGACGATTGTTCTATTAGCTCACCGATTACTTGAGCCTTCTGTAATAGTTCTTGAACGTGTTCTTTCGTTAAAGCATGCAGTTCTTGTGAATTATCGTGTTGTGATGAATTCTCCGAATGTTTGATAAATTCGTTCTTGTGGAACGTTATATGGTAAAATATATTATTGTAACTTATGCAAACTAATTGTTGTAAATGCTCCGCCCAAGTGCAAGCTATTATCCCACTTATGGCTTTATGTTCCTCGTGTATTAAACACTCTTCTTCCCCGTCTCGCCATTGTTCGTTTATTGATATTTTTAACTGATTTATCTGGTCTGGCATAACAAAATAGAAAGTTGTACTTGAAGCGCAAAAATCATAATGCGTAAAAGTGGTTATTTGAATGGTTCTAAGTTGTAAAGTGTCTTTAAATTGTTGATTGCTTCCAAACCATATATCAATATAACCGCATTGAAGTAAAACGATTAGGAATTGTTTTGCACAATCTAATTTTACACATTCTATATTAGAAGCGTAAGCACTTAATAAGTGTATATGATGGTTTTCTATAACTTTTTCAATCAAAGGCTTATCAAGATCTTCCTGTATAACAGCTATAAAGAAACTCATATTTAAAATGAAAAACTCTTTTCTTTCTAAGTAAAAATCCTTTTGTTTCACTTACCTCCTGTTAATATAAACACATTTCCTGATATGGTAAATATATGTAACTCTTGTTGCATCGTTAAATTTATTTGCTCATTTCCATCCAAAAAATTTTGTCCAATTTTGATTAATTTATTTAAAAATTCTTGGTTGTCAGCATTTACCATTAAAGTTATTAAACTGAAATTTTCATCTTCCCAATTACAATCAAACAGGTTACGTTCATCAAAACTTATGTAAAGTTTGAAATGCCGAGAAATAATTTTTGTTAAGTTTGAAATGACGAGAAGTAATTTTTTAATTTACCTTATGTCGTAGCTGCGCAAAAGAAATTCTTCAGGATACGTCGCCTTACCTAATTCGTACACATCTTGAAAAACTTGTAAGCACAGTTGTTTTGCCGGTCCTGCCATTTGCAAACGTATAACACTAAATATCCTCGGTTTTGTAAAAGTCACGCATCGCACACCCTCCAAAAACTTTAATTGATGCATTAACTTAACAGAACTAAAGTAATACATACGACCACTTTTCATCAGTAGCAGTGTATTGAAATCCGTAATTAACATATGCTGGATTTCTTCAATATCACCATTACAACAGGGCAAAGGTATCTGCACTTTAGTAAGGGTCGTTATTTGAGTTTTACTCGATGTTTTGAAAACAAAGTTTAGTATATAATTTTCATCCCAAACAACAAATACTGAACTCTTCTTGCCGCCACTATGATTCACTAAGCCTTGAGCGCAAAAGAGTCCATCGTCATCGATGGACCATAACGACACCACCGAAGAATGTAAATAATCATTTGCAATAGTAGTGACACTGTGATTATCCGGTGTACATTTTACGCTGTAATCCATTAATTGGGATTGTAGATTTACTAACTGTTGTTGTAAATTAACTGAACTATCGTTCATCCTATTTATTTAATATAATAATCAACTTCTATAAACTTTGTCACTCTATTAAAGAAAAACATAGCAGGCATATCTCAAACCACAGGTTATGTGTCTTTTATTATCTCTTGGTTCGCTTCGACAATGAAAAAAGGTAATCTACTTTCTTTGCGTTATGTATCACTCTCGTTTCTTATAATTTATTTTAAAAAAATAAAGAAAAAGTAGGAAACAAACTTGAGGCTAGTTTGTATATAAGCAACCACCATTATTTAAACAACAAAAATATTATACAGAATTAAGCACAAATTTATATATCGTAAAAACTAAAGAGGCCGGAAATCATCATATTATTCTAACCAAAAATATGTGTAAATTAATTAAGACCTTACCCTTCCTTATTAAGCAAACAAAAAGAAGAAATAGAAGGTATACATGGATTGAAATTTGTAGGTAATACATGAAAGTAGTTTTGTGCATTTGTGCAGTTGAGTTTTGCGCCTTGAGTTTAAAGGCGTACCTTGAGAATCACTTGGTTGAGATTCTGGTATGTCTTTCGTCATTCGAAATTAATTTCGAAAAAAGAATGAGAAAATAAGGGGCAAATTTGACTTCTTTTTTTTACAATGCTGCAATCGGTGGCAAATCGTACAATTGTATGAATTGATACTTTCATTGCCTAGTTGCCTTGAGTTGTGAAATTTAACTGGGAATTCTAATATGTATCAGTTTACTTTATTTTTTATTTTGGCAATCCTGTGCGGAAACAACGCGGTTGTTTACTCCCTGCTGCAAAAATTTTTTTTTCTTACGAAATTGAAATATATTGGCTTTGATCCATCTCCACTCAACAAATCAAAACGAGAAAAATAATTGAAATATCAACTTTAAATATAAACTTTAATTAAATTCAACCTAAAATGTCCTTTGTGGCGCAAATAAGCACAAACGCGGTCTGCCGCAACTGCGAGTCCCGCTGGTGTGACATGGACATTTCCTGTTGATTCAATTTTTTATTTGTTATATTCTTTGACCAATAAAAATTGTAACGGAGTTTATCTCATTACTGAGCCAACCTTAATCTGTTGACTGAAGCAAATACTGGATGCGAAGGTTTCTGCTTCCACAGCTGACAATATGATTTCGATAAGGAAAACATCCTTAGTGCGGCAAATCTTCTATCTTTTTCTGTTTTTCCATGTATATCAAGCTTTTTTTCTCAAGAGTCAGGCAAGTTGGTTTCCTTTTCTTTGAGTTAAATTGAGCACACAAAGACCTTTCACATCGCTGACATGCCACTGAAAAAGCTGAAGCCAAACATTATATCTAAGGTCAATGTCTAAAACAGCACCGTTTTCACCGCTTCCAGTAATGATTAACCTGAGATGACTGATCTAAACTCCCTTTCCTTCCTGATTCAATAACCGCTGCCCAAATTCCTCAGTTGGGGATGAATCTATATGATCTTGATACGTTGGGTGATAACTTTGTTTTCATTGAAACATGTTCGAATAGCGAGGAGTAACGTGTTCTGATCTCCTCCGACTTAGCTCTTACAAATACGTCAAGAATTTTAATTTAACTGGTCTAAAAGTCATAAAAACAATTAGAAATGGTAAGACCGAACTCCTTTTTAATTCGGCATCCAATGCAAACAATTTTAATCTAAATAATGACTTTGCGCAGAAAAACTTGAAGCGTACATTCCCAAAACCTTCATTGAGAGATTTGGCGTCGTGTGCAATTTCATTAAGAAAAATGATTCCTCATCGATTGCGATCTGTTCGGTAACGAGCCTTTATTAAAAATCGCCTAACAACAATATGACTTATGTACCAACCATTGGTGTCAAAATCGGCTTTCAGGGCAAATAAATTCCCAAAACCATCAACCACTGCAGTCTACAAGTCAACTTTTTTTTTCCGACCTTGAGACAACGCTTCAATTGTGATCCGTTCGGCCACATAGTGATGCCCTGCAAACCTAAAAACTTACGTTTTCTTAAATTTGGATTTTCTCCGGCGTGCACGAAAAAATGCGACACCTGTATGAGTTTTCCTCCCACAACGCTCTCAACAACAGGTGTCCGACAAGGAAGAAAGAGGAAGAAGTCAATATGATAATGACAATTGACAACATTTCTTTCAGATAGTTCCGGGAATACGATACTAATTCTAAAGACAATCATCAACAGGTAAATAAGACCCCTCCCCAAGTGAGGTTAAATCTAATATTCCCATACCCCCAACCGCCCATTTTGAGTACATCGGATTCGATCAAATGCGTCGTTATTAAATCAGCAGATATATTGGAAGATGTGGAAGGTGTGCCTACAAGCAGACATGCACTGGGTATCAATTTAAAAATTTGCAAAATAGTCTCCACTAGCGTTGCAGTTTTGCCTGTGCCGGCAGGTCCGAAAGTGTTACATACATACAAACGAACCAATTTAATATGCCTTTGCATCGTAAGTGTTTTAGGTTACAAAGAAGGTATCCAGGTTATGTACAGATAATATCACGTTAATACAACCGCCATTTGTAAATTCACATTCCGTTCCGTCTTGTGCTTAGAGCGAGGTACATTGGCGCTCCTACTGAAAACTGGTATTCTTTTGCATCTATCTCTAGGCTTATTTTGAGAGCCTTGGTATGCAGGCTGACTATTTCATCGATTTGTCAAAATTGAAATATGTAGATTTGCTGATGGATTAAGGGGTTCTATTCAGCCGAAGACTATGTTTTAACACCACATTTTTCGACTTTTCACAAAACTTTACAAGAATTAATAAACCATATCGGTTTACATGGAAAAAAAGCACAAGACTAAATGATAATCGTTTCTTTTAAATTTTAAGGTTATTCGTCTAATAATTTATGTGTATTTTACGCTAATGTACATTTTCTTTATGTTATGTGATATGCGATTTGGTGTACACCATACCTTAGTTTTTAAGACATGGAAAACAAGCAGTGAAACCATTTATTTTAAAGTTAAAATTGTTCTATTAAAATTGTTCTGTTAAGTATATTATCAAGACGATCGAAACTGTTATTATACCCGCCACTGGAAGATGGGGGTATACTTACTTTTTTGGGGGTTTTTATACTGAAAACGGAAACAGCTGCTTTGCAACGTCCCAAAACATACACATTTTCCTCCCAAGTATTAGCAGTGTGGAATGTTATAATACCCGGTTTGACAAATGGTCCGCAGTTAATCCAATAGAAAACGAACTTTGTTGTGGAGGGGCAGTGGAAATCCCGTCCGTCGCTCTGAATCATTAATATATTGTGAGCATCGCAATAAGCGATTTTTATATCTAATTTTACTTCTTCCGACTATGTATAAATAACACAAAATTGTTAATTATACATTTTGTTAATTAAAAAATTGTAATTTTGTTTATTTTATTTTGCTGATAAGGCAGAAACGGCGTTTTTCGATTTATGTAAGCTCCCATTAAACGTAAAACATATTTTGAAATTCCTTACCAAGTTTACTAAGCGAATCCTAGTTCCAAAGCTCATCTTTAAAAATCTTGGTTGATATTCATTTACATACTGCGAGGACGTTTCCGTCCCTTTCCTCAAAGGCTGAGGCAGCTCAGTGGCCCAGGGAATTTGTGGAAAATAACACAAGAATATTTTTATTTTGCAGAGACTCTTTATTTCAATCAATTTCAGGTTTCGGTTACACTCGGCTTTATTAGAGAAACGAACTACTTTCCTCGAGTGTCTAGCGTCGACCCTCTAAACTAAAACTCACTAAAGTTACCTTATTCTACCCCTATTCTATTCTTAATCTATTACTATCCTATCTTTACCTATTCTTAATCTATATTAGTCTACTCCTATCCTATTCTAACCTATTCTTATCCTATATCTATCCTATTCTTACGCTATGCTTATCCTATCTTATGCTATCCTACTTCCTAGCACTCCTCTCTCCCCGGCCAGAGGCGGAGAAATCCGTGAGGCCAAAACGAGGGACGACTTTGGATCCTCACAATACTTAAAAAAGGTCGTCGCTTTATGAAGCCAAATCTCGGGTAGAAGTCGAAAGTTTGATGGAGTAGAAAACCAATAATACAATATTAATGTTCATTTTATAAGCTTGAAAAAGGATTTCTGGTTTGTCTGAGAGGTATGTAATTAAGATATACTATCTGTCATGGACGAACAACCATGCTTAAATAAAAATATATACACTTGGGAAATTGTTTGAAGCTTTCTTCTGGGTGTTGCAAACGTTTGCACAAAATGAATATATTGCCCTTCAGATGTTTTGCGAAAGTGAAGCCGACTTAGAAAAGCTGATCCCAGTTCTGTATGAATCTATATTTTGTTTTTTTTCGATTTCGAAGCGTTTATGATTGTAGGGTGTCATTATTGTTATTCTAATTATTATTATTAATATTGTCAATTGTTATTATCCTTATTATACTGTACAGTAATATACTTTATATAGTTGTAATGTTTAAGCATATTTCTATTTGAGTTCAATTCAAAATAAAACGCGAGCAATTAACTGGAAACTTAATATAAAAATAAAAATATTTTCCATTATATGAACAGCAAGATAAAATATATGAACAGTTGTAAAATATATGACCAGCAAGAGAACACCGGTACAAAATATATTTATGGCAGTAAGATGATAACCTGTAAAATATGACCAGTAAGAGGAAGACTGGCAAAATACATGACCAGGAAGAGGAAGACCGGCAAAATATATGACCAGCAAGAGGAAAACCGGTACAAAATATATTTATGGCAGTAAGATGATAACTTGATCATAAAGTAGAGCGAAGCTCCATTCACTTGATATATTCTCCTATTACTGCTGCTAGTTCACAGAAGGAATTTCCACATAAATATAGCATACGAATAAATTTCATACTCTGAAGTTGTTGAGTGGAACAGATTTGCTCAATGCGATTATCATTTAAAAAGATGTATTGCAATTTACTCATTTTCATTTATATATGGCATTCATCATTTCGCTTCTGCAACAGTCAATTTGGATGAATTTTTCTTGGTTCAAGAAACCAATAGGAAAAAAGAAAAACAAAAAATTGACTTTTTTCAAATGTGTGATTTGAAAAATCGACGCAATTTGTAAGGAAGCACTTTAAGTGTATTATTACACTACA